AGACGAAATTACAGCGCTTTTACGCCACAACGTGCAAGTTTCCAAGGTAACGGCGGAAATCGAAACAGGGAAAAGGGGAAGTAGTTAGCGGCCCTGGATAGTTTCGTATTAAATTGCAAATAGAACATACGCCAGTTTCTCACTATTTTAGTTTGCACTGACTCTACCATATCCTCGGGGGTGGACATCCGGGCATTTTCACCGCCTGGCAACCGGAGGCGGTGAAAACAATGGCCCAAAACTCGCAGAAAATGGTATTTTGGGATGATTGTTAAGACTTCTCTGAACAGTGTAACAAGATTATCCCTACGTGTGTAACATATATAAATTTGGTTGTTCAGGATTACTTCAAAGTTGAGTTTGTGTTGTTTTCTCGAATTTTCACCGGCTCGACTGGCGTTCCACAGCAGCGCGCACAGAGCCCATAGAAATGCATGTACAGTGGTGCGCGTCTTAGCAACGTGGAACGTCTGTGACGTAGCTCCGCCCCCGAGGATACATTGGTGCGCGTCGTAGCAACGTGGAACGTCTTGTGACGTAGCTCCGCCCCCGAAGATACTAGTACACTAACAAAATCACCGGGGGGGGGGGGGTACAGGTAAATACAGGTAAACGTTGGTATTATCCAACAACCGTAAAATGTTTATGGATGCCTTTTTACTCTCATGGCTGTGTTGATAACCCTAATTTCAACAGCTTCACCATGATGAAGAATTAGTTTTTACAAACACACACGGCGCCATTCTGTGCGCAGCTATGCGCAACACTGCGTTTCAGTTCGAGCTGCACACTGCTTTAGTATAGGTTTATGTCAACACAATTCTCTTTCAACAAATATACTGTGCATAATATACTGTCAAAGCACAAAAAATACGTAACAAAACGATGCCGTCACAAGTCAAATCCCACGGACTCGCAGTTTATTTAGGTAGACGAACTGTCCAATCGCAGATCGAATGTTTCGAAGCACGTAGCTGAGCGCGCTGACGAAACTCGCGGTAAGCGCGATTAAAAATCACGCGAAATCGCTTCAAAATCTATCAAATAGTGAATATTGAAAACCTGGCAAACAAATCATTTCATGAATGTTGCCGCGTATCATGTTCTCTTTCATGTTATTGGCGTAAGTCAGGGAGGAAGTAGCCTAACATGTAGGAGTGAGTAGCGCCCTCGCCGGCCGACCGGTATCAGCTCTCACTTGTCTACCTGTAATGCGCGATTCTGATTGGCTGTCATGTACATATTTCTCACAATTGGCGCAGATTTAGACTATTAAATATTCCATATAACTTTGGAGCGACACAGTCGTCTCACAGAGCGTTGCATTCTGGGATACCTCTCATACAATGACGTAAAAAAGGGTCAGATAAAATGCTGTTTTCTCATTGGTTGGCAGCTATAATTAAGCTACTCATTAGCATAAAAAAATCACTCAAAGACGTGGACCTAACGCTAGGGGAGAATAGTAAGAGTCAAGTTGTGGAAATATTGCGTCATCGACAGAGAAGAATGGACGTTTAATAGATAGACAACATAGGACGTTTTCCCTTCACCGTTCAAACAATTTAGGCAATACTGTGAATAACATAACTATTTGGGCATGTTTACATATTGTTTCGCTTTCACTTTCACTTATTTTGATTTTGTGTAGCAGGCCGATGACATTAGAATAGTGTAATACATTCGTACTACATTGCGCCCTCTAAAGACAAACTACGATAGATGTCGATGGGTATCGTCTTGAAGCCTACTAATAAATTAAAATACCCAGAATTTGTTCATTTTGCAATAAATTGTACTCCAAGGCAATATAAGGATATTGACCTAAAAAAAGTTGGGGGTCACCAGCCTTTTTTTTCGAGAAATTGATGGTTGTATTTTAGTTGAAAGTCGCAATTTTGACTCTATTATAATGCTTTTACCATATTTTCCTATGCAATATGCAATATATTATTGCAATATCTCAAAATCTAGCCTGGTGACATAAGCTGAAAAAATCATATATTGTTGATGATGGAGTACATTTTGTTATTATGAATTATTTAAAAATTCTGGTTTTAAAAAGTGTTAAAAATACATTTTTTCTTCAACATTGTGTTCTATGGAATTGTTCTAAAAATAGCAATTTTCAAGAAATATTAGGACACATTTCTCAAAAGGCTCAACTCTAACACACAAAATAATGTTATTTCATTGTACCATGAGATATTAGCTTCATGATTGTACATAATAAACTAATGAACATTGTCATGCGATTTATGACCAATTTTGTTAAAAATTATGAGTAGTGAAATTATTTCATATACCTATCTGGACATTACATCGAGGTCGGACATTGCGCTCTAGCGCCCTGTTCCCGTCCAACTGACCAGAATTACTTTTCAAATAAAAGTGAAAGCTGATTCTCTACCAACACTCCCAGGCAACAGTGAGAGGATGGCGCGTGACCCTTGTTACGCAGGATGGAGAAGGCTAGGAGCAGAGATACAGCGCGGGACTCCGTGACGTTAAGCGGCGCCGCGGGCGCGCCGTTGACGCGATGGAATGGCCGCGGAACACCACGAACGTTCTGAACGTGTTTTAAAAGGTAATTTAGAACACCTGGAACAAACTGGACCTGTGTGATTGTCGGCATCATTTGACATCAAAATGTTGCCTTAGTGATTTTCATTTCGTCTCGTCAAGGTAGGAACTGTCCCCGGGCTGGGGAGGGGGAGCTCTATGATACGATGTGGTAAACGATCCTCGAAACTTGTGAACAAAATGTTCAATGTCTTCATCATAGTAGTGGACCTCCAATGCTTCGCTATTTTTGGTAGAACAGGTTACCGTGACTAGTACCAGTTTTAACAAAAAACATTTGAATTCAGGGAAATTTCGCGACATATTCCTCAATATATTAGTATATTCAGTCACTGACATTCAAATAATATTTAAAAACGTAACATAGCAGACCGGGGTAATATCCATGATTTTACTCAACTAACATGATACATCTTTATAGAATTTCGCCGGTTAATGTAAATCTCGCCCCTTTTCTCGGTCCAGGTAATAAACAACACCATGGCAATGACATGCGCATATGTATTTAATGTGACTCCGGTCAGTGCCGGAGAAATAGTACCTCCAACAGCTTTTCAAGAAGAAAAAAAACAGTTTAAAACGAAAATTATACTACTATGTTATTGTTCTCGACAATGGATTCGGAATTGAGACATTTCTAATTTGAAGCTAGCCCCGAGTACAGTCCTGTATGTTGCTTTGGGGTCAGAATGATCAGCGGAAGAAGGCCAACCTACAGGACTGAACTCAGGGCTAATTTGATGCCGGAACTGGGAGCATATACAATTAGAATACGAACGCGAATTCATGTCTCCGAGGTTAGAAGGAGAGAAGTATATTGACTTGTGTATTAGAAGAGAACAGGCGTATGATACGAAGGGGAAACCAAAATTATCTCGACAACAGTGTGTCCATAGGGGGATTACCATTCACGGTCACTCTATTCGCCATTCCCATAAGTCGCGCCCTCTACCGACAGAGCATTTCCGTGACGTCAAAATGACGCAAGACAATGTCGTTCAACTCGACAACTGTGTTTGTGTAGTCTATCACCCAGAATAAAATTAAATTCTTCAAGCATATTGATAACTACGCATCAAAATGAAATCGACGATTTGAACTGCTTTTGTGTCATCCAATTACGTCATGGAAACGCGTCGCCGCCAGAGGGCGCAACTTATTTATCTTTGTCTACAAGCGTTTCTTTGCTAGTGAGAGGATGCGGCCATTACACTGGAATATAATTCTATTCGTAGATCACACGCAATGAAGACGATACTAGTTATACCAATTGTTCTGATAATCTGCCATGTTAGTGTCGCCACCCCTGTAAAACGTACTAAGGTAAGAATGAAGATGTTTTGTTAAAGTAGAAGCCTACTCATAATTGAAAATACCCAGAATTTATTAATTTTGCAATGAACTATACTGCAAGGCAATATAAAGATATTGACTTAAAAAGTTTGGGGTCACCAGCTTTATTGTCGAGAAATTGATGATTGTATTTTAGTCGCCATTTCGGCACTAGTATAGTAAGTATATTATGCAACATCTCAAATTCTAGCGTGATGACATAGGCTGAAAAAATCATATATTGTTAATGATGAAGTACTTTTTATTGTTCTGAATTATTCAAAAAATCTGGGTTTTAAAAAGTGTCAAAAATGGATTTTTTCTTTAACATTGTGTTCTATGGAATTATTAAGACACGTTTCTCATAAATCTTAATAGTAACACACAAAATAATGCTATTTAATTGTACCAGGAGACATTAGCTTCATGATTGTGATTTATGACCAATTATGAGTAAGTTTCTACCTTAAGAAGTGGAATAAAAACGAAAGCGTTGTCATATTTATACACTGCGTTGAGGGTGGTGCTTTATCGTGGTGACCACACAACTCCAGGAACGTCGATGTTGTCGATAACTTGCTCACAGGCATGTTATTGCACGCAATGCACTATGGGAGAAAACTTCCCATTGTATATAATGAAATAGTATTATCACACCAAAAATTTCTAAATTGAATGTTTCAACTCATACCACTTCTAACCTTTTCATCACCAGACTTTTCCCAAAAAAATTTTCTGCAATTTTTTTCTTTTTTTGGCTATTTTTGTTTCAATCTTCTGGACGACAGTGCGGACTATAAACGAGACTATTTCGTGAATTTTTGATGAAAAGAGGGAATTGGTGGCGAAAAGGCTAACAGTCTGAGGTTTCAACAGTACAATGTATTAGGATTAATATAAATAATAATATATGTTGATAAACACTGATTTTCCCACAATCCATTGCGTTCTTCCAATAAAAATCACGAGTACGTGTTTACCGAGTTAAAGCTCAGTAACGTCACGTCTCAGTTTGTAATCGTTGGTCTGCGCATGCGTGACCACCTTTATCAACGATCGTTTTTTCTTTGTTCTTATATTTTCAGAGAAACTCGCCATGTTTGTCTGATTACGATTGTCTGCCGTACGAACACTGTTACTTGCACTCGCTCAGTACTCCATTTGGTGGGATATGTCAAGATAAACCGTCGGTAAGTTTAATAAAACCGCTGCAATAAGACCGAATATATTGCACCAATAACAGATTGCAATGCATGACGGGATTTATTGTAGCGAAGACAATAAATAACGTAATCGATAGAAGGCGCAACGCATCAGGTTTCGACCAGTATAAGTACGTGATTTTGTTATCACTGCCGAGACCTCGCGTAATGCGTGATCTGATTTCTGCCACAAAAATTATTGGATTTTCAGCTTTTTTTTTTTAAATATAGTTTATGAAATCTTTATCTTTCTTTATCAAACTGCGTTTGGATGAACTTTCTTTATTTAAATTGACCATCATCGAAGGTGTATAGTGTATTATTGAGCGTGGAAATACCCCGAACAAATGTTTGTCGAATCCCACGGAATTTTTTTGACGCTACTGCGATGTTATGGCCTTTCTTTGGTCTGTTTCACGTTTCACGCATAACGCGGGATCTCACAGTGAACGGAAAACGGTCCTTTTCAGATTTTTTTCTTTTAATTTATAATTTAAACATTGTTTTGCTGGCAATACAATTTTAAAGGGAGGTGGTCGTCGCGCCACGCATGCGCGAGATATGGGTTTCATATAAACAAAGATGGCGTTTTTGACTTTTGCGCAGAGTATTAACTGAAAGGTTACCAACATTAATTAGGTAATTTCTTCGTTGATTAGAAAGTATCGAAGGAGTCGCCGGCGGTAATTAGTGCTAGGGGAGCCAAAGTCAAAATTCGTACTTGTGATTTCATTAGAAAAGCGCACTGGATTGCGGGAAATATGAATAACAAATGTGGCACATGCGCGGCACGACGACCATCGCCTTTTAATGTAGAAAAGCATATATGTATACATTGTATCTTTTGGTAATTTATGTTTCATGTTCAGGGTCGTCAGATGCGAGATGCTTCCCCCATAAATTACGATTATTACGAAAATATCAACAACAACGATGCACAATACGACAATCCGGTTGTCGGTAACCAGTACGATGACGGAACCCTTCAGGAGGAAACGCTGGATTACGAAAACAACAAAATTGCGCAGTTCGATAATGTGGGAGCTCAAGCAACACTGAAACCAGCGCCCTTCGACTTGGAGCAAAATATGGTAAACCCGGAGGATAACACTCACGACGAGATGAAACTACGCGACTTCGGCCACGTGTACGTCATCCATGGTGATGACGATGACGTCAACGGATCGCCGGGGGCTGTGATTGGCGCAGACGGCACCGTGTACGGCACTTCGAACGACTATGATGAAAGCGTGTTTGTGAATGCCCCGCCAGTACACGGCAATGACATCATCGATGAGGGCGTACACAACGTGGACAACTTTGTGGAAGTGGACTACTTGAACCCGATTCAACTGAATCAGGATCAAATTGGTGAGAATTTTTTTCTATTGAAAAAGACAGGGCCAGTATGGACGATGTTGAGTATTTGAAACTACCAAATTAATCTGGGCAACAAATTGATACATTTGAGCATGACTTTCCACACCGTAGTTCCGGTCACACATGATATTAGCAAATGCGCCAATGCTTTGAGTTTCCGGTACGTACTATTAATTCATTGCGCATGTGCATTCAACCCAGTGCTATATACACGTGCAGACTACTGGTTTACATAAACTCACAAACGTCCATATTCCGGGTTCAATCTTATACATTTCATTGTTTTAAATTAGAGAAATATATAGTATGAACAATTGACCATTTTCCGTTCACTGCGAGAATCACGCGTTATGCGTGAAATCGAACGTAAATACAGGACAAACAAATTGCGTCAAACATCGCGTGGGGTTTGACAAACGCGAAAATATTTTAAGGGATTATATTTCCATGCTTACTAACGTGCTGTACACATTTGATGATGGGCAATTTCGATGAAGTAAAGGTATTCAAACGCAATATTCCCCTGTCAAAGATCGGCCTTTCCATGTGAGCTACGAAATAAAGAAATTCGAGTTCAAAATCAAATCGTTCGATTTTTGCGGCAGACGTTCGACGCGTGTCTTTCATGCATCTCGCGCGATCTCGCAATTGTACGGAAAATCACCTATTGTGGGATATGTATGTAGGAGTAACAACAGTTTTAGTTTGGTGCGCCCTCTCTAAATCTGCCGCTGTTTATAAATGAACAAACTTGATCTCAATGACAAATAAATAAAATTGAACTGAGAAAGTGACTAGCCAAGACTAAGATTAGATCAAAGGATGGTGTTGTCAATTAGAGTAAAGCGGGGAATATGTCACGTTTTTGCATTTTTTTTTATTACTCATAAACAAAAAAATACAGCGTGTTGTTGTTTATAAACAGGCGTCTACCCATGAGTCTTTGCGTTTTCAGCGCGCGTTGTTATCGTCGATTGGGACACATAGATACATTTGGGACACATAGATAGATTAGGTGTCGAAAATAATAATCCTGTGATCGGGTAGATTAGATTTGATTGAACCAAGACTAAGATTAGATTGAGCTAAGCTGAGCTAAATTAATCAAATTTAACCTAAACATGTAAATCTAACGTTGAGTATAATTTTCACTGTTTTTACTTAAAGCGGGAGGGCCGTCACCTGCGCACGCGCGGGAATTGAGTCCCAAGCGACGATAACAACACACACTAAAAACGCAAAGGTTCATGGATGGATGCTTGTTTGTAAACAATGACACGCTATGGCCATCTGACGCATGCGCAGGTGACGACTCCCCCGCTTTAATTTCTGTTTTGCTTATCTGTTTAAATGTGACCAGA